AATTAGGGGGGAAGACTGTTCATCATTGTAGGGCCCGAGTATCTAATATTATGTTAACAATAATTAGTGTTATGTGTAGGTATGTGAACATGAGTTCTGGATCGAGTGGGGTAATTGTGAATAGAGTAATGGGAATAAACATATTGCATAAATGGTTAGGAATGATAGAATGCATAGCAGAGAATATAAATAATTATACATTGCTTGGCATATTGGAATGCTTGGAATGGCAGAGGACCCAGCTGTTCAGCAGCTCATTAAGGCTACGTTCAGACTTGCAGATAAGCCAGGCTTGAGTTAAGCCCGGCTCAACGTTAAGCCCGGCTTAACTTTGCCGGGCGTTCAGACTAGCGGGTTTAGCCAGGCGAGAATTTGCATAATAATGAACTTAACCAGGAAACGTGATTCAAAACATTGCTCGCGAAACGTACACTCGCTCACAGCGTACGTAATTGAATGCTGATTGGTCATTCCGTCACCCGAAGTCAATGCAAGACCCCCCGCAACGATTAAACCCCGGCTTAGAAAAGTTAAACACGATGGCACGCCAGGCCTAGTTACTATAGGAACATAGCCGGCTAGAGATAAGCCACCTAGTTCAGACTGGCAGGTGGATAAACCCGGTGAGTTGAGGCGGGTTTATCCACCTAGTCTGAACCAGGCCTAAGAGTTATGACGATAGCAACAGTAAGTTATTGAGATGTTTCTCCAGGTGGATTCCTCAATTTACTTTGAGAATTCACATTTCTCGATCATCCATTGGCATTGCCTTTGAGATTAAATGTAGGCTGTCATGCACAGCATATTTATACAGAATTAAACATATATCATGTGGATATTAAACCTGTTTTTCTGGTCATAATAAACAAATAAATAGGTAAGGGTCTACGAATTGATGCAAAAAGCTGTGCATGACAGCTTACATTTAATCTCAAAGGCAATGCCAATGGATGATCGAGAATGTGAATTCTAATAGTAAATTGAGGAATCCACCTGGTGATGAAAAACATCTCAATAACTTACTGTTGCTATCGTCATAACTCTTAATGAGCTGCTGAACAGCTGGGTCCTCTGCCATTCCAAGTTTTAAAATCCATTTTTGAGAGCCTCCCACTTCTAATGAATTTATCACCATTAGAGTACCGTACATCATTCCAAATTTCAAGTTGATCTGGTGAAAAAAATACACACAAAAAATTAAATGAATTAAGTGATTAACTGAGTATGAATTGCAACATTCTAAAATGATATGCCCAGTGTCTGAGGATTTTAATCTCAAACAATAACACCAAGTGACACGACCCTTCATGATAGAATTGATCTATTTATGAGGCTTAGTACAGTTAGTATTGGTATGGGAAACATCTGTCATTACTAGGATTGAAATCAGTAGCCTCAAATTGGAACGCATCATTATCTTGCAACATATCCAAATCCAAATGTATTAATTTGGTGGTTTGGAAGATCAATCCACTTTGGAATGTGATTTCAATAACTTAGCCTGAATGGGCAGTGATAAAGTACACCAGAGAGCTTTTCAAGGAACACATGCACCCCTAGGGTCATTTAGGAAGAAAGTATTTTTATGATGACAATAATTGTCATCAATTGTTATTAAGTCTATATGTGGTAGTTCGAATGCCACTAATGAAAGATCTTCGTGGATGTAATTAAGCCAAAAATGCCAACTGTAAAAAACATAATTCAATCAGTTCATTATTTTAAAATATATAATATATTCCTTCAAACAATGTGCATCAGACAAAAGTGTTTTAGCTATAAAGCCTGTTTCCAACTTTGCGAATTTATTTGGGCAAATCGAAAGCTTCGTTTTGCTTCCTGAGTTCTGCTTGGCTGTACATTTTTTTCGCCTCGTAAAAAGTAGAAATTGTTTGGTACTACAGTACCAGTTTCGCTGAAGCGAAAACTCCAAAAGAAATATGAATGCGCATGCGCATGAACGACGCTTTCAATTCGCCCGAATAAACTTTCGCCTGGTAGAAAACCTGCTTAAGTGAGAAAACTTGGATACAGTATGATCTTGTTATCATCCCAACAAGAAGTCGTTTGTAAGTGAATTTCGCAATTTACAGTTAATGCGCTTAATAACGTCATACAACTTTTGACTTTGATCTGCTGCGTGGTTACTGTAGTCTTTGGTGAATTTGTTGACATCACACTTCAGTGCTAAAAAACAGGGAGTTGTCATTAGATCTCGCTACAACGTGCACAGGATTGGCGGCGCAAATCTGAGGTGGGGTAAGGTAGGATATATCACTCCCTCAAACCAACTAGTGGGGAAGGGGAGCAACCAAAAAGAAAGGTTGTAACAGATAGAACTATTTTGCATCAATGGTTGGAAATAAAACAAAACGAACTATGGTACGGTGGAAAATAAAACAAATACGCTATTTCTGTATATTGTTATTTCCATGCAAGTCAACCAAATTAATACCAACATATTTATTACAGAATGTCATTTCCATTTGACACCAAACGACTATTGATTTGGAGGTCCATGGGGCTAACATATTGTTTGAATATGTCCAACTACTGTAGAACATTAAATTTCAACCTTTTTTACGTGGCCACAATTTTACTTCAACATATCTGACGTTCCACAGGGGGATGGGGTCACCAGGCTTTTTTAAAATTTTGCCTATTAACAGCCATTTCTAGCTCCAAAAAAAACAAAACATTATGCCATTGACGTTGTCGCTTGCTGCAAGTATGCCGCTCCCGATATTGTACAGAAGAACCTACATTATTTATCTAATTCTCAATACGATATATCCCATATCACAGCCTACATCATAGTCGAAGGGAGGAAAGATTCAACATTTAATTCCAAGTCTCATTAGTCTATAATTTCAACGTCCAACCATGCCTCCCACCGAAAGAAAAATTAAGAATTATTGATGCTGAGCACTATTAGCAGCCACGTCATGTACGATTACAACACTATTCGCTTTCTAGGTTAGTCTAACAATGTATTTCTGCATATTGCCACCGTAGTATTTGGGCAAGCTTAGATCGTTAGTCTAATTACCCGAGGATGCGTTTTTCACATAACCATTCTCCTCAAACAAGATTATTGAAGTCCAGTTTTTGTAATAGCAGTGGTCGAAAAAAAATGTCAGCATATTTTCCACAGTAATATTTGGTTAAGGGAGCTATCCGCCACCTCCCAGGCCCCGAGTCCTACTTCTATGTCTAGAATCAAAAAGCCTGCCACAATCTTTGTTTCCTACACCTATCAGCTCATAAGCGTAGGAACCTTTCAGAACGGGGGAGGGGGAACTTTATATGAAACAATAATACGAGGGAGGTGTCTAAGGCTGTGGCGTATATAGATCTATCCCTGAGCACGGGTAAGGATGATGTTGAGTTTGAATTTTCCAACAATGAAGTACCCTTAGATACAGTTTAGTCCTATATTCTAATGTTTCAGTACAATTTATGTTCAAAGATTTCCTATATTTTAAGTTACTTTTTGTCCGATATTTTCCTTTTTTAGAGGGATACTATGTTTGATTACTAGAAATACTAATAGCAAATTTCACTTTTTACAACAAATCATTATTCCCACACATTAATCGCTATGTCCAACTTATAATAATAATAATAATAAAGTAAGAACTTATATAGCGCCATTTAAAAAACCGAAGTAATTATCAGTGGCGCTTCATGTTATTGTTGGAATAAGTGCGTTTTGAGTGATTTTTTAAATAAAGGAATTGATGTTGAATAAGA